TGTATTCAGTTATCTTTTTAGTAAAAAAAAAAATAACCCAAATTAGTTCATAACCAAAAAGTATAATTTTTAAAAAACATTTTTTTTACATGTTTATTTAATTTTTTTTATATTATTATTTATGTTTTTTTTTTTTTAACATACTGTCACCCTAGCAGTACAGTGTCACCATATTTTGGGGGGTGATGAAGATTTTTTTTTTTACACTGATTGCTTTTACACCCATAAAGGCTGTAAAAGCAATCATTTCTCCTTCTCTTTGTGTGCATTCTTGCAGCCATTGAGAACTACTGTGTGAGCTGTGATTGGTCACAGCTTGTCACATGGTACAAGGCTGTTGTGAATAGCCCTGTACCCTGTGACCTCTGTGATCATTCACAGATTTCACGTAGTAAGCAGGGCGGACTGACAACTCATGGGGCAATAGGGGATCATGGGGCCCCTGTGTCCTTGCCCACACTCAAAAAAGCCTATGAAAAAGGTACCCAGGGGTATATCATGGGGCCCCCTACTGACCCCGGGCCCTCGGGTTTCCAGTGGTAGTTAGCAATGATGTCAGAAGTGGCATCTTGCTTACTACTGTTCATGTGATCACTGATTGGCCAATTGATTGATTTTTTTTTTATTAAATTTTTTTCTGGACCATAAAGCAAAGGAAAGATAAACAAAAAAAAAAAACTGCTCAGAAAGTTCTTGTTTATCTATGCAAATTATACCTGAAAAAGTATGTGAATGTCCAATTTTTTTTTTAAGGTGATCTTAAAAAAAAAGCTGTTCAGTTTGGAAAATTTAGTGAGAAATAATTTGCATAAATAAACAAGAACTTTCTGAACATTTCCAGACCCAGAAACTTCACTTTTCAAAAAAAAAAAAAAAAGGAAAAAAAAAGGGAAAAAAAAAAGAAAAATCAGAACTGAGTCTGTGAAATGCTGTCGCGGGACGGCGGACTTTTCTCACCTTCCTCACGTCGCACACCTGCCAACCGTAATATTCACACATTGAAACGGCTGAGAATTCAGGAGTGTTACAGCTGGACCGCAGAGAACCCCGTCCCCCCCCCACCCAGGGGCGGACTGACCATTTGGAAACCTGGGCACTGCCTGAGGCCCCGGGGTCAGTAGGGGGCCCCATGAGATGCACCTGGTACCTTTCATAGGCTTTTTTGAGTTTGGGCAAGGACACATGGGCCCCATGTTCCCCTATTGCCCGGGGGCCCCATGAATTGTCAGTCTGTCCCTGCCCCCGCCCCCCCCCCAGTCCCAGTCCCCCCCCATCCCAGTCATTATACGAGGGGCGTACAGTCACACTGGGACTTTTCATTTTTCATTAGAAATGGACGCCGGCGTGGCGGTACGGGTACTACACTCAGTAGTAAGTGTGTCCCAGGGGCGGACTGACAACTCATGGGGCCCCCAGGCAATAGGGGATCATGGGGCCCCTGTGTCCTTGCCCAAACTTAAAAAAGCCTATGAAAAAGGTACCAGGGGTATCTCATGGGGCCCCCTACTGACTCCGGGCCCCCGGGCAGTGCCCGGGTTTCCAAATGGTAAGTCTGCCCCTGGTGTGTCCTATTACTGATCGGCGTTGTGTTGCCGGCTAGTCCAGAGACCGCTAATCAAGATGGCAGCCGGCGGCGTTAGTGCGTGCGTGGAGCAGCGCGGGGTCATGGAGCAGCGCAGGGTGATGGAACATTGCGGGGTCATGGAGCAGCGCAGTGTGATGGAGCAACGCGGGGTGATGGAAACTGCATTTATTTTTTTGCCATCCTCCCCTGCTACATCTCTACACTTCTCCCCCCAGTCACTAATGCCGGAACCAGGGGCGGACTGACAACTCATGGGGCCCCCAGGCAATAGAGGATCATGGGGCCCCTGTGTCCTTGCCCAAACTCAAAAAAGCCTATGAAAAAGGTACCAGGGGCATTTCACGGGGTCCCCTACTGACCCCCGGAGCAGCGCGGGGTGATGGAGCAGCACGACGTGATGACGTTTCTTGTGAACGAAGGCGTAAAACCCGCAGACTTCAAGCGCAGTGCGGCGGTGAGACATCTAGATGGTGGAAACGTTTCAAAGATGGCCGTCCGTCCGTCCCTCGGCGATGATGGCGGTCCCGGAGGTTCCGTCGTTCCTGTGAACGTTCGGCAGGTGGAACGCCTGATCCTGGATCTTCCAGATGAATCTTTCTGTGGGAGCGGTGAACTCGATCGTTCTCCGATCTCCTAGGAGGGTTTCCAGCCAGGGGCGGACTGACCATTTGGAAACTCGGGCACTGCCCGGGGGCCCGGGGTCAGTAGGGGGCCCCATGAGTAGCCCCTGGTACCTTTTTCATAGGCTTTTTTGAGTTTGGTCAAGGACACAGGGGCCCCATGATCCACTATTGCCCGGGGGCCCCATGATCCCCTACTGCCCGGGGGCCCCATGATCCCCTATTGCCGGGGGGCCCCATGAGTTGTCAGTCCGCCCCTGGTTCCGGCATTAGTAACACGCTGGGAGAAGTGTAGAGATGTAGCAGGGGAGGATGCCGAAAAAATAAATGCAGCTTCCATAGCGGACGCACAATAGCGGAGGGACCAGAATATTGCTCTTGAATCCCGTCCAGCCGTGTGATCGGCTCCGGCTGATGAATCCATTCATCACCCCATTCAGCCTGCAATGCGTAACCGAAGGAAAATATCTCCCGGCAATTAGGAGGGAGATGTTAATAGGCTGCATCTGATGAGGCGATTAAATCCGACTTAGTAATTGACGTAACGTCCCCCCCCCCCGCTGTGGCTCCAAAGGCATTCCGCTCCTACGGCACACCCGGCACTGCTGACTGCAAACCTTTTCAGCTGCTCGGGGGGCTGACACTGAATATTCAATGCAAAACACAAAGCAGTCTCTTGTTATTACAGGAAAGTGTTCGTCCGCACTGATCTTCTATTATTGGGGAGCCTGCTGACTGACTGGTCGATTTAACAACAATGTGTTACTGAACCCGCAACAGTAATATCACGCTGTGAGCATGCTTGTTCATTCACTGCGGAACCTAAGGGGTTAATCCTCTGCATTGTGTAAAAAGGCTGTTTGATCCTGTCTTCTCTTTTCCTCCCCTTCTACTGTCCCCAATCCATCTGCTGATAGAACAGAGCGCTAGGAGGCATCCTGCACATGCTCAGTTTGGTGCGTATTGCTAGAGAGTTTCTTTTTTTTTTATGGGTGGGTGCATGTGATCAGCACAGGGGCAATCAGCATTGTCAGGGGTCATGCAGCCTCATAGGACAATCAGGGGAGAATGAAAACTCCTCCTACAAGATTAACCAGTGCTCTGCTGGACACTGATAGAAGTCACAAGGCTGCTGATGAGGAAAGCAGTTTATATTGACTATATAGTGAATGCGGGGAGAGCGGATATAGTGAATGCAGGGTCCGGGGAGAGCGGATATAGTGAATGCGGGGTCCGGGGGAGAGCGGATATAGTGAATGCGGGGTCTGGGGAGAGCGGATATAGTGAATGCGGGGTCCGGGGATAATGGATATAGTGAATGCGGGGTCCGGGGAGAGCGGATATAGTGAATGCAGGGTCCGGGGAGAATGGATATAGTGAATGCGGGGTCCGGGGAGAGCGGATATAGTGAATGCGGGGTCTGGGGAGAGCGGATATAGTGAATGCGGGGTCCGGGGAGAGAGCGGATATAGTGAATGCGGGGTCCGGGGAGAGCGGATATAGTGAATGCGGGGTCCGGGGAGAGCGGATATAGTGAATGCGGGGTCCGGGGAGAGCGGATATAGTGTATGCGGGGTCCGGGGAGAGAGGATATAGTGAATGCGGGGTCCGGGGAGAGCGGATATAGTGAATGTGGGGTCCGGGGAGAGCGGATATAGTGAATGCGGGGCCCGGGGAGAGCGGATATAGTGAATGCGGGGTCCGGGGAGAGCGGATATAGTGAATGCGGGGTCCGGGGAGAGCGGATATAGTGAATGCGGGGTCCGGGGAGAGCGGATATAGTGAATGCGGGGTCCGGGGAGAGCGGATATAGTGAATGCGGAGTCTGGGGAGAACGGATATAGTGAATGCGGGGTCCGGGGAGAGCGGATATAGTGAATGCGGGGTCCGGGGAGACCGGATATAGTGAATGCGGGGTCCGGGGAGAATGGATATAGTGAATGCGGGGTCCTTTGAGTGGCTGATAGCATGAAAACCTATATCCCGAACCGTTCAATGGCTCGATAGGGAACTGGGTACATTGGCATGTAAAGTCGGAACCCCCTTTTACACCCCGTCGATGTCGTCGCGCTGCGTCATTTTTCTCGTCCGGCGCGGACTAATCAGAAATGATGTCGCATCTCGCGGCTCCTGGCAGCGCACGCCCTCCTTCATCACCTTCACACTGGCACCCGCGCCTTATCATAACACGCCCGCCCCTCCTCAGCAGTCTGCTCCCATTTGGATCCGACGCCGGCCAGACAAATCGGCGACAGCCGCCTTAACCTGCGAAAACATTCGGGGCAGAAAACAGAGATTTGTTTTGGGGGGGGGGGGGGGGGGGGGGGCGAAAAAATAGAACGATTTTCTAGTTCCAGCTAATTTCTCTCTCAAACTTTTCTTTTTTTTTTCTCCTTCTTTTCCCCGAGAAATTATTGGTAGCAGCCGGGCTGAGCGGAGTAATTAGTGTTACCTCACTTTTGTTTATACAGATTTAAACAATTTGCAGGGAATACGCCGCAACGCACCGCGTGATCCGCGCTGTAATGGGGGGCGCTGAAACTTATTACATGTTATGTGTGGTGGGGGGGAGGGGGGATCACGTCCCTATAATAAATATGAATGTGCTGCAAAATGTATCAAATCGAGGCAAAGCCGACGTCTTCATTCTTCTGCTCACGGGATTGGCTTACAGGCAACCAATCAGCTCGGTCCGAGGATCAGTAAGTGTTAGAGAAGGGGCTGCCTGCACCCAACACCTGACATGCCGGCACTGGAAGCAATGCCCACCCTAAGGAAACCCTCAGTTGTAATAACCCCCCCGTAACCCCAACACTAACACACCCTGTAACCCCAACACTAATCCTCCCTGTAACCCCAACACTAACACACCCTGTAACCCCAACACTAACACACCCTGCAACCCCAACACTAACACACCCTGCAACCCCAACACTAACACACCCTGTAACCCCAACACTAACACACCCTGTAACCCCAACACTAATCCTCCCTGTAACCCCAACACTAACACACCCTGTAACCCCAACACTAATACACCCTGCAACCCCAACACTAACACACCCTGTAACCCCAACACTAATACACCCTGTAACCCCAACACTAACACACCCTGTAACCCCAACACTAACACACCCTCTAACCCTAACACCAATACACCCTCTAACCCCAACACTAATACACCCTGCAACCCCAACACTAACACACCCTCTAACCCTAACACTAATACACCCTCTAACCCCAACACTAATACACCCTGCAACCCCAACACTAACACACCCTCTAACCCTAACACTAACACACCCTGCAACCCCAACACTAACACACCCTGTAACCCCAACACTAACACACTCTGTAACCCCAACACTAATCCTCCCTGCAACCCCAACACTAATACACCCTCTAACCCTAACACTAACACACCCTGCAACCCCAACACTAATACACCCTGCAACCCCAACACTAACACACCCTGTAACCCCAACACTAACACACCCTCTAACCCTAACACTAACACACCCTGCAACCCCAACACTAACACACCCTGCTACCCCAACACTAATACACCCTCTAACCCTAACACTAACACACCCTGCAACCCCAACACTAACACACCCTGTAACCCCAACACTAACACACCCTCTAACCCTAACACTAACACACCCTGCAACCCCAACACTAACACACCCTGTAACCCCAACACTAATACACCCTGCAACCCCAACACTAACACACTCTGTAACCCCAACACTAATACACCCTGCAACCCCAACACTAACACACCCTGCAACCCCAACACTAATACACCCTGTAACCCCAACACTAACACACCCTGTAACCCCAACACTAACACACCCTGCAACCCCAACACTAACACACCCTCTAACCCCAACACTAACATACCCTGTAACCCCAACACTAATACACCCTCTAACCCCAACACTAATACACCCTCTAACCCCAACACTAATACACCCTGTAACCCCAACACTAATACACCCTGTAACCCCAACACTAACACACCCTGTAACCCCAACACTAATACACCCTGTAACCCCAACACTAACACACCCTGCAACCCCAACACTAACACACCCTGTAACCCCAACACTAACACACCCTGTAACCCTAACACTAACACACCCTGTAACCCCAACACTAATACACCCTGTAACCCCAATACTAACACACCCTGTAACCCCAACACTAATCCTCCCTGTAACCCCAACACTAATACACCCTGTAACCCCAACACTAACACACCCTGTAACCCCAACACTAACACACCCTGTAACCCCAACACTAATACACCCTGTAACCCCAACACTAACACACCCTGTAACCCCAACACTAATACACCCTGTAACCCCAACACTAATCCTCCCTGTAACCCCCAACACTAACACCCTGTAACCCCAACACTAATACACCCTGTAACCCCAACACTAATCCTCCCTGTAACCCCCAACACTAACACACCCTGCAACCCCAACACTAATACACCCTGTAACCCTAACCTTGATGTCCCCATAACCCTAACACACGGGTGTCAAACCGGCGGCCCTCCAGCTGTTGCCAAACTACAAATCCCATGAGGCAAGATTGACAGTTACAAGTATGACACCCAAAGGCAGAGGCATGCTGGGACTTGTAGTTTCACAACAGACACTAGCCCACCCTGTAGCCCTAACCTTGATCTGCCCTAACCCTAACACTAACCCTGATCTTCTCTTTAGCTCTAACACTAAGCCTCCTTGTAACCCTAAAACTGACCTTCACCATAACCCTAACACTCCCTGTGACCCTAACACTAATCTTCATTGCAGCCCTAATACCCCCCCCCCCCCCCCCATAACTCTAACACTAACCCTGCCTATAGTCTTAACAATAATACATATTTGCTTTTTTTTTTTTTTTTTTTTACAGTTTTCACCTTTTCTTTTATCCTTTGTATCATGTCTGTGCTGAGGATCTCCTGCAGCCTCTTTGCAGCCACCTCAGTGATAGCTATATGGCATTTCTCAGGGCAGGCTTCTACTGATGGTGACAACAGAGGGCGACATCTGTGTAATGTGTGATGAAATGGCCACTTGTAGTCTCCATCAGAGGCCAGGGTGACAACGCAGGAGCACATATGGGAGGCATGGACAGAGCGTTGTCACCCCAGAACATGCTAATACATCTACTTTTTCCGAATCCCTACCAGAACCTATGAACTTTTCCAATTTCCAACATATACTTCAGGGGCCTGTCCAGGCAGGAGGAACCTACTGTACAGTCATGGCCAAAAATCCTGTCCCCCCCGCATTTCTGTCAGATAACGCACCACTTCACCCAGAACATTGTTGAAATTATGTTTCAGCATGCTCGTGTTTATTTCTTTGCTTTGTATTGGTGACACAAAAAAGTGGAGAAACTAAAAGCCCAATCTGACACATTCCACGCAAAAGCCCAAAAATGGACTGGACAAAATTATTGGCACCCTCCATGTAATATTTAGTAGCACAAATACCTGAAACCAATGGCTTCCTGGAACCATCAATGAGTTTCCTCCACCTCTCTGCTGGAATTTTGGATCACTCTTCTTTCACCAACTGCTCCGGGTCTCTCAGATTGGAAGGTTCCTTTCCCCAACTGATGTTCTGAGATCTCTCCACAGGAGCTCTATGGGATGGAGATCTGGACTCATTGCTGGTCAGTTCAGTCCTCTCCAGCGCTTTGTATGAAACCATTTCTGGGGGCTTTTTGACGTGTGCTTTGGGTCATTGTCCTGCTGGAAGACCCATGACCTCTGACATTGGAGACCCAACTTTCTGACACCGGACCCTACATTGCACCCCAGAATTCTTTGGTAGTCTTCAGATTTCATAATGCCATGTACACGGCCAAGACATCCAGTGCCTGAACCAACAAAGCAACCCCAAACCATCAGTGACCCCCCACCATGTGTGACTGGAGGGACTGGATTCTTTTCTGTAAAGGCCTCATTGCTCTTTCTGGACACAGTAGAATGATGGGCTTTACCAAAAAGCTGGCATTGTTTCGTCTGTCCCCAACACATTCTCTCAGAAGGATCTTGGCTTCCTCAGGTAAGTTTTGGCAAACTCCAATCTGGCCTTTTTATGTTTCTGTGTCAGCAGTGGGGTCCTCCTGGGTCTCCTACCATATTTCTGTGTGAGCAGTGGGGTCCTCCTGGGTCTCCCACCATATTTCTGTGTCAACAGTGGAGTCCTCCCAGGTCTCCCACCATATTTCTGTGTCAGCAGTGGGGTCTTCCTGGGTCTCCTCCCATATTTCTGTGTCAGCAGTGGGGTCTCCTGGGTCTCCCACCATATTTCTGTGTCAGCAGTGGGGTCCTCCTGGGTCTCCTCCCATATTTCTGTGTCAGCAGTGGGGTCCTCCTGGGTCTCCTCCCATATTTCTGTGTCAGCAGTGGGGTCCTCCTGGGTCTCCCACCATAGCGTCCCTTTTCATTCAGATGGTGGCGTATAGTGCGAGCAGACACAGTTGGACCCGGTGCCTGAAGGTCAGCTGGTTTGTCTGGAAGTTGATGGAGGTTCTTTAGCCACCATTCCAACAATCCTTTTTTGCAATCTTTGATCAATTTTTCTCTCTCCACATCCAGGGAGATTACCTATATGGGCTTTAAACTTCTTGACAATGTTGCGTACAGTGGACACAGGAACATTAGGATCTCTGGAGATGGACTTTTCACTATGAGATTGTCCGTGCTTTTCCACCATATTTGTTCTCCAATCCTCAGACAATTCTTTGTGGCTCCCTCTCTCCTCCATGCTCCATGTGGCCCACAGAGACACCCAACAGAAAGGCGGAGGCCATTTGTCCCCATTGTCCCCGGTTGTCGGTGTGATTTCCATGTTGTCAGCGCCCGGTCATGGATACGGGGGAGTTTAATGACAAATTACAGGAGCGTCACAAACTTGGAATGCAATAATTTCTCACAATCTTGCGAAGGTGGTAATTTTGTCTGGCCCATTTTTGGGTTTTTTTGCGTGGAATGTGTCAGATTTGGCTTTTCGTTTCTCCACTTTTTTGTGTCACCGATATAAAGAAAAGAAATAAACATGAGAATGCCGAAACATTTGTAATTGCAACAATTTTCTGGGCGAAGTGGTGCGCAATCAGAAGTGCGGGGGGACAAGATTTCTGGCCATGATTGTATCTGGGGATAAATTCTACGTTCAGTCATACTGGGAATGTGTGGAGAGCCGTAGAGGTACAGCTGCCCCCGTAAGCAATTCCTCCTGCTAAATATATAGGTCTGTTCTGCCGGCCAAATTAGTTTTGGAAACGATTGTTCAGTTTCTGTAATTTTTTTTTTTTTCTTCTTCTTACGCATGAAATGAGGCCTCCCCTGGGACAGCCAGGAGCCTGAGGTTGCTCCACCTGAATCTGTCTTGGGACGTGGCCCATGAAAAGGGGAAACAAAAAACAACACGGCGCGGCCAAGAATATCAAATGGTGCCTCGGCTCTGCACGGCCGCGTACAGTCCACCCCACACCCTGTCTGCCTTCCAAGCTGGCAGCTGCCCCTCACCTCCATACATTCATCAGGTACGTGGGCAGCTCAGAGCTTGCTGGGCAATGCTGGAAAAGGGGGGGGGGGGGATGGGAATTAACCCCTTCCATGTCAAGTTATAGGTAAAACGGAGAGAACTTGGTGGAAAACCATAGGAAAAGATTTCCTAAAACTGGGACACTCGGAATCTGGTGCAGCCGTGCCTGGGAGCCAATCAGCTTCTACCTTCAGCTTGTTCAGTTAAACTTTGTCAATGAAACCTGGAAGCTGATTGGTTTCTAGATTTTGCACTGTGCAGCTTTAGGAAATAACCCCCACAATGGCCTCATCCTCTGACAGATCATTTTGATTTTCTAAATTTAATTAAAATTTTTTTTTTTTAGATGAGTTAGTGCCCACCATGTAATCAAATTTTGTTTTTAATTCATTTTTTTTATTTTTTTAAACTTAGTTTTTTAGTGAAAGGAATGAGCGGGGAATTTATTCAAATTGATTGCAACTGGGATAAGATCACTGAAAGGGAAAAAAAAAAAGTAGCAAAGGCACAATTAGCACAGAAAATGTTGATGTCATAGATTCTAGTTAAATAAAAAAAACTCTAATTAAAAAACAAAACACAAAAATGAACTTGTATGATCCATTCCTCATGCGTCTTCTTCTGGGATCTCGGAGATCTTTGTGTATTTCTTCCAGATCTGTGCAGTCATCCAGTGTGAGACTTCCTGTAATAAAGACCGCTCACTGCTGCTCCCTCTCCTTGTACAGGGTGACTGGTCTGGTCTCCGCCCTCTCCTGTAGTTCTCTGCATGCAACCGGTAGTGGGTGGAGCCTATTGGGCCCCTTCTACAACTCTGCTCCCTCTCCTTGTGCAGGGAGACTGGTCTCGTCTCCGCCCCATCCTTGCAGTTTTCTGCAGGCAACCTGTAGTGGGTGGAGCCTGCTGGGCCCCTCCCACAGCTCTGCTCCCTTTCCTTGTGCAGGGTGACTGGTCTGGTCTCCGCCCTCTCCTGTGGTTCTCTGCATGCAACCTGTAGTGGGTGGAGCCTGCTGGGCCCCTCCTACAACTCTGTTCCCTCTCCTTGAACAAAGGGACTGGTCTTGTTTACGCCCGCTCCTGTAGATTTCTGTAGGCAACCTGTAGAGGGGTCACCAGCAGGAGGAAGGAGGTCCTGATTCCTCTATATAGACCTTTATATCACTTGAGGGGTCACCGGCAGGAGCAAGGAGGTCCTGATTCCTCTATATAGATCTTTATATCACTAGAGGGATCACCGGCAGGAGCAAGGAGGTCCTGATTCCTCTATATAGACCTTTATATCACTAGAGGGGTCACCGGCAGGAGGAAGGAGGTCCTGATTCCTCTATATAGATCCTATCACTAGAGGGGTCACCGGCAGGAGGAAGGAGGTTCCGATTCCTCTATATAGATCTTTATATCACTAGAGGGGTCACCGGCAGGAGGAAGGAGGTCCCGATTCCTCTATATAGATCTTTATATCACTAGAGGGGTCACCGGCAGGAGGAAGGAGGTCCCGATTCCTCTATATAGATCTTTATATCACTAGAGGGGTCACCGGCAGAAGGAAGGAGGTCCCGATTCCTCTATATAGATCTTTATATCACTAGAGGGGTCACCGGCAGAAGGAAGGAGGTCCCGATTCCTCTATATAGATCTTTATATCACTAGAGGGGTCACCGGCAGGAGGAAGGAGGTCCCGATTCCTCTATTTAGATCATTATATCACTAGAGGGGTCACCGGCAGGAGGAAGGAGGTCCCGATTCCTCTATTTAGATCATTATATCACTAGAGGGGTCACCGGCAGGAGGAAGGAGGTCCTGATTCCTCTATCTAGATAAA